ACTATAATATATGCAAGGTGCCTCAGGGTTAAGTAATTAAGCTGGTTTAATTGACCTTTACTACTTAGTTAATTCAATCCTCACTGTTCCAAATTTGTGGCTTTATGCTAAGCTAAGCATAGTAAATAACAATCACTATAAAATTTGTTGGATCCAAATTTAATTTTCAACCACAATTAGCTAGTCACTTTTGTATTAAAAATATTCATTACTAGTTCAAAAGCCACTCTGCGGTGGGCTCTTGATTAGGCCATCATAACAATAGGTAGGGAGGAGTAGATGTAATAGGTAACAATAAACTACAGAAGAACTCAAAATTGATCACAGCATTTAACTATTGCATTAATATCTAAGTTTGCGTTTTAAAAGTTCAACAATAATTCTTCTACCACCACTTAATTTAAAGACAATTTGATGTACATGGGTCCTTACTTTCCATACAAACAATTATTTTTATTTCATGGCTGACTTTTGTAATTAGTTTGAATTATTCCTAAATTATTTCAAAGTTAGAAAAACTTATTGTACGAAAAATTTTGTCGCAAAAAAAAAAAAAATACATAAAAAAATCACTGAAAACAATCGCAGTAACGAAAAGTTGAGAATAAAAAATTTCAGGATTGCTGGTCCAGATTAGGACTGAAATGCTTTTAATTTGCTCTTGGAGCCAGCCTGATTCCAAAATGGTATGATATGTTGGGAGTAAAGTTGAAAAAGTGTGACACACTGACATTCACATTTATTATATAGATGATATGCTGATTTATTCAAACTGGTATCCTCATCTTGATTGTTATAGTCACAATGTTTTAGCCATTTTATTCTCTAGTAAAGTTTTGGGGCTGAAATTTCATTATCACCAAAGCTGAGGTCGCTGCCAACCTGTATCGATAGACTGCATGTTAAGATATGGAAAAGGAAAAATTTCATGCAGATAGTTTTAGGTGCTTTAATTTTGTTGATTTTTATTAAATTTTCACATTTTTATTTTCGTTTTTCACAGGATGGGGATTACTTTTTAAAATTAACCTACAAAGAAGAGGAAAAACTAAACAAACTGTGTACAGAGACTACAAAGGACTTGGATGCTCAGCATTTACCTGATGAAGGTGAGTTCGCTAACACTAATTATTTTGTTTCTGTTTCAACTGTACATTTTCAAGAGTTACAGAATATTTGATCTGTGAAAGCTTTCTATTCATATTAGTATTTAATGTCTATATACTTGAAAAAACTTTGGTGTTACAAATAAAAAAGCTTTTGCTTCTTTAAATAACCTTTGGTAAAATCCTTCTTTATTTGTAAATCTCTATTTATTTACCTTCTTTATATTTGGACTATTGTCCTCGTCTTTGGAATATGCCTGATGAAGGCCGGAGCAGAACAGCCTAGATAGCCTAAACTGAACCCTTTATTTAATTTACAGGAGTAGACTTCTTGTTCTACTGTCTAATTCTTATTTTTAGTACTGCTCAGTTGTCCAAGTTTCAGGGATTGAACACATAATTACTGTATCACAAAATTCACAAACCAATGTTTAAACCCACTAGATTATTGTCCAGGATATAGAAGAAAATTGGATTTTAATGCTCGGTTCTTCATGGCATTTTTCAGCCAATAGGATTTACTTAATAATGCCCATCTCTTCTTCATTAACATGCACTAGTTGGTACCGAGTGACATGATGTCAACTGTAAAATATAATCCCCGAGAAAAACAAATATAACCTATCTAATGGCATAAAAGATCTATCCTCCAACTCCCAAATATGAGAATTTAATAAGTCTACCTTTTGAACGGGGCCAAACAGGGAATATGAGTGAAGTCTCAGTACTAGCCAATAATTACTCTTTATTTCTTTTAATATTCCCTGCCAAAATAGTGGGGGAGGTCTTATAGACTACAGTAGTGCTGTCATTCAAAATAAACAATTCTTGACTTGACTGATTTACTGACAAAATGAACATAAATCAAAATTAATTTAGGAATATCTTTTTGGCTGGTGGGCTGAGAATTTCTCAATAGCATTCTGTATATACAGGATGCGATGATAAATTGTCGTATAAATTACGCAAAAAATGAAAATAACACTGACATTTTGCCAAAATTACACAAAAATATCTTTAAATACTATAGAGTAAATTTATTAAATAAAATTACCATTGGCTTCAAATGGGCTCAGATTTGCCCCATATAAAAACTGGCCTTATACCACATCCTGCCTCATGGAGAGGTTGGGTAAATACCAGCTTCAACCACATCGTCCAGACGACTTTGGAATCTCCTGCAAATTTTCTGGACGGACTCCTTGTTTTTGGTGAATACTGCCATAATCCTTGCCTTCAGTTCATCTTTGGTGTTACAAGAAGTTTTGTTTGTCTCTTGTACATAATAATCAAGGGGGTTACAGTCTGGGGAGTTAGGTGGCCAGATATAAGGGGTGATGTAGTCACAGAAATTGTCTCACAGGCATGACTAGGTTCTCTTGCTTGTGTGCCATGAAGCAGAGTCCTGTTGCCAGACATAGGGTCTCCCTGCAGCCACCCTTTTGACCCAGGGCAGCACTACCTCCTCAAAGCACCTCCATGTTGCTTCTGTGGACTTCACCAACAAATTTTGGAGTTCTTTTCTTATCAGAATGATCAGATTGAGTTTTCCAAGCTGCCATACCTTCGTAATCACCATAAGATCTATCCTCAGAGTGACACCCAAACAATGGTGCAAATACCAAGCAGTACAGCATGCCATTTCCAAATTTCTGGCAGTGAATTGTGTCATGGTGCTCTTTTCTCACAGACCATTAAACTGACCCTACTATACTGTGCAGTCAACAAAATCGGAAACAAACAGCACGCATGTGAAAAATTAAAAGTATAAAATGGTGACAATTTACCCATCGCATCTTCTGTGTGCGTGCGCACATACACACACATATATATATATATAATCACTTTAAATTTTATTTTTATTGAATACTCATATTGGAGTAGAATACTCATTTATTTATTAAACAGTATATTTATTCACTATTCAACTTTGCTTGATCGTCTAAATTCTTTAGAGCAGTGTTTCTCAACCAGTGTTCCATAAGAGGTTGCTAGGAATTCCACAAGAAACGGTGATAAATAGGCTAATGCATTTTTGAACAATTTTGTTTACTTTTATATTCATAATTTTACTATACATACATAGCATATTGTTGGAAAATCCTTGTTTTTTTTTGGGGGGGGGTAATAAAGGATTCAACGTCTTATATTATTTAAAATTTATAATAATCATAGGGAATGTATTTAGCAATGTCTATATGGTGTCAGTTTGAATACTGCCTTCAACTTCATGTATCATTGACTGACTCACTCGAGTGCAGGGTGCATGCATTGTGTCCATATATTATGTTTACCATGTGAACTATGATAAAAATATAAAAAATAGATATTAATAATAGTATATAATAATTTTTGTGCAAGGGTTCCTTGAAATATTAAAACTATTTCAAGAGTTCCACAAGGATAAAAAGGTTGAGAAACGCTACTCTAGAGCATCTCGGATCTAAGGATGATTTCCTTTGCCCAGGGGAACACAGGTTTGAATCTTGCTGGAGAGTACATATTTTTCTTTAAGATTTATTGAATATTCAAGCTGGTATATATATATATATATATATATATATATATATATATATATATACTGTTTAATAAATAAATAAATAGAGCCTCTACTCAAATACAAGTATCCACTAATGTTTAAAGTGATAAAATCTGTCAGAGTAATAAATAAAAATCCATTGCTTCTTTTGAAAATTGCTTTGTTTACATTTGGATACAAAACTAAGCAGATATGAAATTTTCAAGAAGTCTATGATTAGAGGAATTTCACTTAAAGGCACTATTCAGCCATGCCTGATCAGCTAAGTTCTCTGTAGCTCAGTTGGCCTTGAGCACATCATGACAGTTCCCTCTGCCCAGGGAGTACAAGACAAAAATAAATAAATATAGTATTTAATAATATATAGTATTAAATAAATAAACAGAAAAAAATTCAAAAACAATAACAGTGCTCACTTTTGTTTATTAGACATTAAATTACATTGCTTAGCATCCTCCATAATTTACCTTAACTATCAGTTAGCCTGAAGTATTTATGAGTCTTCTTAAATGGAAAAATTCTGAAAAATAAAATTTTAACTTCTGTGCATAGATTTTACATGTTGCAAAATAAAATCCTTACATTTGCCTTGATAAAGTCCATCAGAGGATGAATCATATTGGCTAAAATAAGTTTTCCTTTTATGTTTATTCATAATATCTTTTTTCAGATATAGTTTTAGTTATATCTGAATTTTTACACACACACACATATATATATATATATATATATATATATATATATATATATATATATATATATAAAAATGATCTTTGTTTTTCAGTGAGTGGTAAAATGAGGGCAGCAGTTGGTAAGGCAACACTGCTAACCAATCAGAAATTTAAGCAATTCAGAGATTTGTGCCAAAATTACATGGTAAGTTATTTTATTTCATATTTCTATGCCATATTAAATGTTATTATATATATATATATATATATATATATATATATATATATATATATATATATATAGTGGGGAAAATAAGTATTTCATCCCCTGCTGATTTTTTCTGAGTTTGCTGCCTTACAAAAATGGGAATGGTCTATAATTTTCAGGGTAGGTCCATCTTGAAAGTGAAAGATAGAATATAAAAAAAATTCCATGAAATACTTATTTTCCCCACTGTATATATTCAATCAAAACAATTGTCTTTTGCAGATCATATTATAAATATTGCAAATATTGAATTTTCATAAAAATTCTTAATAGACATGGATGACATATGGAGTCCAAACTTCTACCACTGGATGAGGAGAGCACAATTAACATTTTTTTTCCAAATATCTTTAAAATAAAAAAAAAATAAAAATAATCTCAAGTAATTATAAAATCCTGGATCTATCCTTATGAATAGATGTATGAAGGCTCAGAAAACTATTAAAAGTGTATAATTAAGTCATTTTAATCCAAAATTATGCTACATGAGTAAACAGATTTTTTTTTTAAGTGGGTGTAGGGAGAGAGCTCTCTATTCTTTTTTTATTTTCTTGCAGTCATCTGAATGAATGTGTTTACATGTTGGTTGGGCTATGCTGTGACTATAAAAGAAGTCATAGGCAAGTTTCTAAATAAAACCAGCAAAAAAAGATGTATTCAGCTAAAGAGGTCAACAGACAGAACTTGTCAAAACATTTCTTTTTGGGGGTGGTGGATAAAAAAAACAAAAAAAAATGACATTGACTCATTGACAATCATAACATTCTTGGTTGTTGGACCACAAACCATATTTTAGTTTACATGAAATTACCAATTTGCTTAACAAGTAAAATGAAAATAGATTTCAGTGATCAAGCCAGCTAATGAATAAAAAAAAAAAAAAAAACACTAACTTAAAACTGACTTAAGATCTGTTCTCATTAGAGATATTCAAATAAATCATTACTTTTTGCTTAGTTAGACAGAAGACTACCTGTGTTGAGTATCCAGCATAAACCACTTGCTACAATAGTTATGGTTGATTTTGCTAACTACTGCTCCATAATATACTTTCATTTTAATGAGTCCTATAATCCATTAAGGTTATAGGGGCACCACATGTACTGCAGCAGTGGTGTCTCTTGGGCATTGATAACCTGACAGTCTAACTCTTTCCAGGCTGGTTTAAATTTAGTTTTCTTTCTTCTAGACTGGTTGCCAACCAAAGCTACAGAAATGAGTAAGCACATTTAAGTAGAAGAGAAAATAATGATATAATTGAGATATTAGTTTTCCACAGTGCCAAAAACATTGAAAGGAAACTGCGATCAATATTAGAAAGTGCTATAACATCTAGTGGACTGTTCAGTCAGTAAATGCCGAATATTTCCCATATGGAATCAGCTAATTTCATCATCACAATAACTGTTGTTGCATCATTGAATTTAATAGAATATTCTTTATCTTCATACGATCAATGTTGTATTTTGATAACTTCAGGGAACTTAATTTATTTCACTTATTGGATTTTGCTGATATAATCAGATGATTTTTACAGATTATCTGGTTCTCTTAAGAACTGAGATGTATATGTTCAATTTTGTAGAAGGACAAAAATGAAAGATAAAGTGACTTGAGCAATAATCTTAAGTCATTTAAATTCTTAGAGGAAGTAATTTTGTTAATTTATTTTATTAGATTTTCTTTCATTTTACAATGGCGTTTTGTCACAAGGTTCTAGGATTATATGATGTTTGATTGTTAAAGAACATGGTGGGAATTGGAAATGTAGCCTGTGACAAGTGTATCAACCTCGAGCATTGTGATCAAAAGTATTTAAAAAAAAAAACATTAATCAAAAATTTAATTTATTGATGTTTTGTTTTTAATTCTTTTTCTTATTAATGTCTAAAGAAAAACTGATCTAGAATTGTAGAATGGAATTGATGTTAAAGTCAATTGAAGGGTTAAAAATAAGCTCTGTTACTTAGAAGATATTCATATTTTGGGGATTTCAGATTTTATAAGTCCCTAAGCATTTCTCTGAATATCTAAAATGTGCATTGCCATGACTGTTCTTTGGAAAGATACTGATTTCTCATTCCTTTTTATTCAGAGTTGTCCTTCTCTAAGATTGGTTACCAACCAAGGCTAGGGAACCCATTCAATCTTACTATTTAACTTGTTGCTTCCAATCTGGATAGGAACAACTCCAAAAACACTTCCCTCCCTATATTTATAGACAAAACTGTACAGATACATGCTGGGATCTTCCTCCTAGCCAATAAGACAAGAAAAAACAGAAATATGGCCTGAAATCAGAACACTGTGATCACTTGTCCGTATCCCTTTTGTGTGTTAACACCATTGTTAGTTTGTGAACTTTTTTTGCCTCATTACAGCTGCTTTGTCTTGGATATATTGTTTGCTTAGTATAAAATTTTTGCTCTATTCTTATTGTTTATTACAAACCTATTCTGTTTGTTGGGCATTTCTGCCAATTACATTTAACCATGAGCAATTACTCTATATAACTCATAGCTGGATGAAGATGAAATGGATTCAGATCTTTCGAAAGTGAACCAAAAAAGTTCTTCCAGTTGGAATTTAAACTCTAAATTTGCTTGCTGATTCTATTTTCCATTTTGTTAAGTCTTAGTGAAGGACATCACTGAATTCATAATTTTAGGGACAGTAACAAGAAACCACTTTACTATCTTTCCCAAGAACTGTCTATTAATGAAGAGTTTACAAATCTTAAAAGGAAGCAGTTAAGAATTATCATCACCTATATCATGAAGAGACAACATTAATGGGTAGGGTAGGAAAGTTGTAATTACAATTTTTCAAAGATTTTTTTTTCTCTTTGTCTTGAAGAATTTTAGCAACAAGTGGTGGACAAATAAAAACTCCAAAAGGAGAAGGGAGAAAAACTGCTAAGAGCCATGAGGAATAAGAAGTTGTGGAGAGCTATGATCGCCTATGTCCTGAAGGGATATTTAAGATACATGCTACAATAATTTTTTTATCTATTTTGCATGGAAGCTTTGAAACCAAACTAAGTTTGACACATGTTTATATTTATAGAGCAAAGGCACTTTCAAGACAATTCATTTACTGAGTTAAAATGTGTGTTTGACTTGCTTTTCAAATTGTGTATAAGAGAGAAAAAAAAATATTCTTAATTCAATTTCTTTTTCTTTTCCATTGCAGTCACCAACTTCTGCAGAGGAAGAACATCCGACCAAATTGGAAGATCTTCAGGGCTTCTGGGAAATGGTGCAAATTCAAATTGATGATGTCTATGATATGTTTGCTGAGATTGATCTTATGCGTCACAATGGATGGAAAGAAGTGCAACTCGAAGTGAGTTTTCCTCTCATTCAAGAATGCTGAGAGCTATACAAATATGTGAATAGTAGACAAAAAATAAAGGTTGTCATTGCAGGTTTAATTACGTTAATATTGGACATCTATACACACAAAAACTTGTTTCACTGTATGTGGGATGTTGTTACAAAAAAATTTTTTTTTTTTTTAAGTAGGTGGAACCTTAGTCAAAACCTGCTTTCCAAATTTAAAATAATTATTGCCAGAAACAGGTTATTTAGTTCAACAAAATACTTTACAATGTTTTTGAATATTAATGAATTGTGAGATGTCAGTGAAAACTAGTTGGATAAAAAAAATTTATACTGACTTGGGCACTTATAGCTTGATGTTTAGTAGATTAATCTTCTAATCAAAATAACTACTGTTGTAAAGTCAAATTCTTTCTGGATACATTCTACTGTGGTCTACTGTCATTTTTTACTAAGTTAGCTAAGCTTTATAGTTAACTCTACAGACACTTATTGTATCAGGATGATGAGCAAGCTTGTCTTATAAATCAATTTTTTGGATCCCAATGGAGATAGTCAGTACCTATATGGGTGACTGCTTGGGAATATCAGGTGCTGTAAGTTTGGATGTGTGGGTGGTGTAATGGATAATGGCTTGGAATTGTTAATCTGAGAGACAAGTTCCAATTCTAGTTTGGTTTGTTATATTTACTTATGTGCAAATACTATTGGGAAAGGTATGAATCCACCTCTTCTCCCCAGATATGGGTTAATTAGTAAAACTTGTATCATTGAAACAATTATTATCTCCCTCCACCAAAAAAAAAGATAAATAAAATTGCATAGAAAATATTTAGATTTTGGCATTAAATAACCCATAAAGATTGATATGCCACTAAACAAAATCAACCATTAAACCCACCAATGGAGATATCTGGGTATTACTTCTTCTTTTTTTTTTTTTTTTTTTTTTTTTTTAATCATTTTATCCAAAGCAGTAAACTGATTGTGAGAGAATGAGAAAAAAAAAAAGAAAAAAAAAAAACACTATTAAGGCAAAGAGAACAATAAAAGAACAGGAATGAAGAAGACAGAAGATGATGATTGGCACTGCATTTAAATTTTTGAAGATCAAAGTTGACCAGAAAGAAAGAGATGGAAGAGAGTTCCACATGTGAGAAGTACGAAAGAAGAAACTGTTAGTGTAGAACTTCATCTAGCCATTTCAACTGTAAAATGTTGAGACATTACCACTAATGTAATAGTATGCTTAAATTCGTAAAGTCTAAGGGAAAGTTCATCAGAATAATTACCATGAAAGTATTTATGGAAAAGGCACAGGGAAGCTACATTATGGCAACGGTAAAGTGAATGAAGCTGAGATGCCAGGTCAGGACCAATAATAACATTGCTGATTTTTCTTTGTTTTTTATCAAGAATCTCTAAATAGCAGAAGCACCAGACCATGTGTGGCAGCAATATTCAAATTATGGACAAATAGTAGATTTATAAGTATCTAAGATAGATTCTGGTGAACTTAGCAGTTGATTCAATATGATCTTTCCACTCCATATCAGTAGAAAACATTAGTCTTTGAAAGCACAATGAGTCACTCTCTTGAAGGTTAGCATTAGCCATGCTGATGAAAGGCAAAAAGAGTTCTCTCAGGTGATTAAAAGAAAACAGTTTTCTTTCTTCCTTTTTTCTGAATTTTTGTCTTATGGTGTTTCCCTACCCACTTTTTTCATAAAAAATGCACATGGATGATATGCTTAAATATATTTTTTGTGTGCAGTAATTAAGAAATGCAATGTTTCTTTTCTTTCCACTGCAGTCAAGGAGAAGCTCCAGCTCTAGTCAAAAGTCAGCCAGTGTCAACAGTACCCCCTCACACACTCCAGGTAAAATACATGTTGAATTAATTTTATTTTCTACTTTTTTTTTTTTTTTTTTTTTTAAACCATTAAACAGACATTTTTTTATTATTATTATTATTTAGAGTTAATTTATTAATTTTCTTTTTTTAACTAACATTTCTTTTTATTTCTTTATGCTTATTAGTCTGAACAAATCAATATTTTTTTTCATTTGTCTTTCTGTTGAAAAGTTTTTTCTTTATCATTTTCATTCTCCTTGGTATTTTAAAATAACTGAATTGGATAACTTTCAAGGCAAAAACCAGTTTTGCATTCTATTGTTTGTATTTTTCATTTTTTTTTTCTTAGGCATATTTTTCTTGTAATTACTTTTTCATACCTTTTTTGTAATTCTAATCACCTTGAAGACTTTGCAACAACAGCTGCTACTTGACAGGTAATGTAGATAGAGCTGCAGATTCCTGAGACTGTCTTTTTTCCAGGCTTCAAATTTCGTATTTTTTCGGTATCTGCATTGTTTCAGTGTTGCTGTGCAGAGGGGAATGCTGAACCATTGTGCATTTAAGACTTCAAATGAATTGTCTAGGAATTTAAGATAAAAAGAAGAAAAAGTTTTCTCTTGTAAAATAGATTTTAAGGTTTCTTTCTTCCTACTCATATTTAAATAACTGGATTCCATCTTATTCTTGTTAAGAATCTGATAACAAAATTAGATGCAAGAAATGAAAAAAAATACTTATATAAGACCAACCACCATCACCACCTCTTAAAAATACCTCCTACTCAGATGCCATGGAATATCAGTATTTCCTTCTTAGCCTAAAATCCATAATATTGTAATATTAAATGTAGATTGGACTGAATGATTACAAAAAGGTTCATCTATAAAATTCTGAAGTGAATATAACATCAATCAGCTAAGTGACAAATTTTATTTGTATTAATCATACACACACACAAAATATATATATATATATTGTCTCTGACTCCACAGTTTCAAGAAGTTGGCTATATATATATATATATATATATATATATATATATATAATATTTATTAACAGTTATAACAAAAACATGTTATAAACCACTACATAAATGCAATCATGTTTCAACACTATGTGCACCTTCTCAGGCAGTGTTGGTCAATTGGAAAATAGATGGTCATTTTATGGTTTAAAAGTAGCAATATCAGCATAGATCTCTAAGAGAGGTGCCAGCTTTAAACTTTTTAAAGCCATAATAATTCCCTTTGTTGGAATCGTTGTGAGCAAATAGGTAGTAGTAGTCACTGCCTCATTTGCTGAAGAAGGTTTTTGGTTTGTAAGACCAATTTCAATCCAGCTTCACTCTTTTAAAGGTCAAGCACTGTTGATATTTATCTTAATTTCGCACACATGGATAAAACCAATTTTGGAATATCTTTGAAAAACATCCCTAATACAAACAGGAGCATTTTGAGAAATTGGTTTTACAAACTAAAGACCTTCTTTGACAAATGAGGTGGAGAGTTTGCTTTTACCTATTTGCTCACAATTCCAACAAGCTGGATTATTACAGCTTTAAAAGTTTAAAGATGGCACCTTTCTTAGAGCAGCTATGAGGGTATTGCTACTTTCAAACCATAAAATGATCATCTATTATTCAGCTGAACACCACCTGAGGAGGCACATACAGTGTCGAAATGAGATTGCATTTATGTAGAACTTTATAACATGTTTTTGTTATAATTAATAAATATTATTATTATTAAGCTCTACTCTGCATTGAGCACTTCTTTTAAAATATTAATGTCTGTACATTGGTACTAATCTACCTTACACTTGAACACACACACATATATATATATATATATATATATTAGGCAGCAATCCCTCTTTTATCCAAGTTTTTTTAAAAACAACTGACAAGATACTGCGATTAAGCTTTTTTTAATTTTTTCTTGTGTTCTTTTCTGGACACAGTGTGTAAAAACTGTCCAAAAGTTCTGCATATTCAATGGTCACAATGTGCTGACTATGTATGCAAAATAAAACATTCCCATAACCTCGGACACTCGGATAACTTATATATATATATATATATATATATATATATATATATATATATATATATATATATATAAGAAACCCACACATTCTGTTAAAAAAATTTGCCTTTGATAATGGCTAAAAGAATAGCCAAAAGTGCTCAGATATGCATAACGTTTGGACAGTTTTTTTCACACTTTGTATCCAGAAAAGAAAACACTTGTATGAGCACAAGAAAAAATTAAATAAGCTTAATCACAGTACCTTGTCAGTCATATTTAACAAAACTCTTGTGTGTGTGTGTATATATATATATATATATATATATATATTTCATTCTCAATCAAATACAATAGATTAAATTTGGGTGGGATCTGCTTCTATTCACTTTGTACTGATGCCTTTCTCCTTGTGACCCCTTTTCCAAATATCAGCAAAGTATCTAATCATTTATATGCCACAATGTTTGACAGAAAAAGTAATTTGCTTAGTCATGATTACTTGCCAAGGCAATCTTCTATTTGCCATATCCCTTTAGAACTTGGGCAAACATGGCTCTCCACAACTTCTTGTCCTTTGTAAGTTTTATCTTATTGCTAACTCTCCTAAACCCTGTTCTGTCAGTTATTTACACAAGCTCATTAGGTAGGCTATTGATTGCTTTCCTGTGTCCTTCTTGCCTTTAATATGTCCTATCAGTGTCAAATTCTCAAGCCCTCTTTCCTCATTATGTGCCCTAGAAATTTCTCTTGTCTCTTTCTGATTCTATGTCTACTTATTGATTCCATTTTTCTTAAAACTTTGTTACTCACATGTTCAGTCCATGTCCTACTGTATAACCACATTTCTTTTGCCTCATCTCTTTATCTGTGAGGAGATTGTCCAGAATTCACTGCCATATAATAGGACTGATATTACATAACAGCTCATCACTCTTTTGTTTGTAATGAAATTTTCCTGTTTCTTAATGTTTTGCTTAGCTTTTGGAAAGCATCTTTTAATATTCTGGTGTGCCTTTAGATTTTGGTGATGCATTTTCTGTCCTCCATTGCTGTAGCAACTGAAAACTTTTATCTATTTTATCAAGGTCCTGGTACTTTAGTCATTTTTAATTTCTTTCAAGTCTTTATTTAGTCTTTCACTGAAATATTCTAAGATGTAATATACTACATTTAACAACTTATACCCCTTCCTATTTGCATTTAATATTACAGTATTATGCAGATAGACACCAGAAATTACCAGAACTTATACATACCTAAGTAAACCTTAGCCTACTGGATAACTCAGCTCCATATGTTAGTCATAGGAGATATTCTTTAGAAATTTTGTTTTTGGTGTGTCACACACACACACACACACACATATATATATATATATATATATATATATATATATATATATGGTCTGATCAAAAAGCATCAGAACTGTTGTTTTGGTAAAAATTAAAGTATTCAGAGTGAAGGCACAGACTGACATTAAACGCTTATCACACATGCTCACTAAGTTATTATCTCAAAAAAATAATTCTTACAATCTAAAAATATTTTCTGGCTTTAAATAACCTATTAAGCACTAGGAAACAAATCAATTAATCATTTATTTTAAGATTTTTTTTCATATCCCACATTGTTTCAGTGGGTGATACTAAAAAATATATATTCACCATTGTCAGTTTCTCATTCAAATTTAAATCAAAGTGTATGTTTGATCCATACTGGTAGTGGGGATCAGTGTTATTAGTATGTCCAAGTGCATGTCTAATCATTCCTATACTGGTCCAATCAAGTTAAAGTAAGATTTTTTTTTAAATCCAACATTCATGTGATTAACGTGAATTACATTCCACATAGATTTGATTGAAATAAAATCCATTTTTCTGATGGTGCTGTTTGATCAGGAAAATACATCAAAGGAAGAAGAGTCTTCCAAAGTATCTTATATACTTACCATTCCACTGGATCCTCATTCAAATTAAAATCAAATCAGTATTTGCATATCTAACCTCATTTGAGTACCAGGGTTTAGGGGTGATAGCAAAAAACAATTTACTAAGAACTACAAAGGACAAGAAATTGTGGCTAGCCATGATTGCCAACATCCTGAAGGAACATGACACAGAGAAAAAGACTGTCTTGCTAAAAATTGTCTTGCAATTAGTTGCTCAAATTTTTTGTCATTAATCATGTCTTTTACTAAAATTAGCCTGCTTCAATAAAATCTGAAAATTCTAAACCCCTAACTTAGGTGTTTGGTATGAAGTAGTGGCTATCAAATTAATTTCGCATACCATTACTACTGGAGTGAGCTTTATCCCTACAAATTTAGCCTTGTACCAGACTAGGCTGAGTTAAATAAAAAGATTCTGAAAATTTTGTTGATCTCCTCTATTATTTTCTGCTGTTCAAATCTTTTTTTGTTTTTGTTTTTGATCCCCCTTTATATTGAAAATATACTTTCTCCTCTCCACCAACAAACAGGGTGACTAACAAAAAAACAACATGACTCTAAAAATATTCAGAGTACATGGAACTTGTCACCTAATGTTTCTTTTTTTTTTTTTTTTTTTTTCATTTCTTCAAGTTTCTAACATTTTTATTTTGTTCAATTGTTTCATTCCGCTAAAAGACTTACTAAGAAGTCTGTTAAAAATTCCTGCCACTCCCTTGCCACGTATTTCAGTTTCTCATTTAACAGTCTTGAGGCTTCACTTATTAAATTCTTGCAGTTTGTCACATTCCTTAGTTTTGCAAACATGGCAAAAAGTTTCTTCAAATTTTCTTCTGTCTTATGAATTTTTTTTATTCTTGTTGCCAACATAAGCTAATATCCTCTTTGCATATGAGATGAAATAACTGATGATAATATATTTCCAAAAAATGTATGCTTTTATTCTTAGAAGTACACCAATATTTTCCAAATAAGATGTTAACTTTTCATGACTTATGATCTACTTACAATCATACAAATTCAAAATAAGTAATCTATGGTCATGATTCCAGAGGCATGTTGGACTAACTCATGTTGTAGGTAATGAGAACTACTGGGTTAAGTTATGTAATGAAATGCTTTTGACCCACTGATTATACATTTATCAAATATCCTTGATAGATAGAAGCACAAATGCTGAATGTGAGTCAAATATATATTAATTGAACTTTGATTCAATTAAAAGTTTAAATAAATAGAATTTTTGTTATAATTTATTCCTCAGTAAGTTGGCAATCATACCAGAAAAAATTGAATCATAAATTAATGGAATTAAAAAAACAATGGTTATAATAAAATATATATAAAAATATGCAAGACATTACCCTAGAAAAACAACGGTACGCGGATACATCCTGGGGGTAATTAACCGCAGGAGTTAGTGTGATGATTTGGCCAATGTTCTACTGTTCTACTAGGTCTATACTTCATGTATCAGATACCATCTACTTGAACATTGAAGACACTTGACCTATTAATGCCCACTGTAAGATTTGGTATCAATTATTAAAATAAAAATCCAGTATTAATTATAAGTTTGAAAAATTGGTTATTGATTATAGATTTTAACCTCTAACCTATTAATGCTCACCATCCCCAAAACAAGACAGTTGGTATTAAAAGGTTAATGGCACCAGTCTTTTGAAATGCAGTGGCTTCTTTCAGTTACAAAAATGCACCCTATCACACTGTATGAGTGGTATGGAAATGTTTTCAGGAATTTAAAAAAAAAATTTTTTTTTTTCAGATTTTAATTCCATTCAGCAGTTATGTTAGACTAACAATTTAATTCTGCAGAACATCTACCATGCAATTTACAACAATTAAAAGATCAGCTATTAATGTCACCAGATCATTGGGGGGAAAATTTACTCATTTTAAGTTCATGCCTGATAAAATGAGATTTTTATATATTATGACAGTGAATCCCAGATCCAATAATATTGCTTTTTGTAAACACTTGAACAATTCCATGGGTCCCACTTACAAAGAATTCTCAGGTTACACTGGTGGAATAACGTACTGCTTGTCAAAATTTGGAAACATTCACAGTCAATGTCCATTGGAGCAATGATTGTCCATTGACACCTATGTTGGGTTGGCCACATTATCCGTGTGCCTTGGATCCCATTCCTGTAACATGCTGTCTTTGGTAAATTGAAGTCAAATGAAATGGCCTCTGTGATCAATACAAGTAATACAGAGACTACATCACAGCTGTCCTTGAAGACCTGTAATATCTTCCCCTAGACAATTATAAAAATTGGTTGCTGATTGGGCCAGTTGGCAATGTGTTTTCATTTTTTCTAACTTGTGTATATGACTTGTTAAGAAACTGTTGAAGAACTCGGAGAAATGGAAAAATTCATTTTTGAAGAAGCCAGAAAGGTTGGTCTGGAAATTTGCCACATGAACATTCTGTTGAAATCAGAAGTGGACCATTTACGACAAATGATAAAAACCACAGAAGCAAAGTTGGTTTGGCATGCAGAATCCATCCTCTTCTGCCTTTTTTAAGGCTTTTTCAGCCAACCTCTTACTTGCAAAAAAGGTGCCAGTTTTGTGTTGGTCTAATCAGGCACACAAGACCCCATCCACAATGGAGGGAACTAGTTAACATTGACTTTTGTCTAAAAAGTTGGTCTACAACAATGACAACAGTAAGTTGTTTTTTAGGCATATGGAAGATCAACACATTATTAAGCAGTTGGTCATAATATTTTGGCTTATAGCATATAGGCACCTCATGATGGGTTAATATTTATCAAGCTGGTGTAGAAGATCACTGCAACTGAGTAATGAATTTAATCCCATATAGTCCTTCACCTGTGGCCCTGTGTCACATAACTTAAGCTTGAGTAAGATTAGGCAAGTGAAAAAGTTTCCGGCAAAAATTTAAAAAAATTGGTGACCTCTTGGGAATACCAGGTGCAGTAAGCTTGGTTGTGCAGGTGGTGTAATGGATAATGGCTCAGAATTGTTAATCGGAGAGCCATGTTCTAATTCTAGCTGTTATATTCACTTACACACAGATATCCCTGAGAAAGGTATGAATCCTCCTCTTATTCCCCCAGCTATGGATTAATTAGTAAAACTTGTATCACTAAATTATCTAAAAAAAACATTATTCCCCACTCTTCAGAGCTCAGACAATAAATTTATAAATTTGTGCAAAACAACTAAAATATAATGGGGGGGGGCTTACAAGACAGCAGTATGAGTCATAAAAAGATTGTTTGTATTTTTCTCTCTTAATGATTTCTGAAAAGATAATGCATTACTTAGAATTCAAACTGGATATTATTTTCACTTGTCAGATAAGGTAAATATAAAACAAGACTCTTAAGCAGCAATATGTGATCATGTTTAAATATAGCCATGGATAACAGCAGGTTACTTGTGTTCTTAAGGTTAACTCCTTGATCATCTCTTTTCATCGCATATAAACCACTCTTATCTAATTTTCTCTCTTTTAATGTTTTTTTACTTCATACATCATGAGTGACTAGGAAGATTTTACAATAAGAATAAAACTGTTAATATCTCCTGATTGTGTGCCTACCTCCCTCTGTGTCACTCAGCTTTCAATGTTTTCAACTGCCACAGTATACATGTCCACTATTTTCATCAGGAAATCACAGCACGAGTAATTTACATCGTAAAACTACCCGGGGTGGTTACCTGATGGTAACGGAGGTACCAGGTAAGCACTTCCTAGCACTGCACTGTTTAGATCCTAGAGATTCCTTCCACCATCCTATTCCTCTTCCTTCTCCTCTTCCTCCTTGGTCTTGCTGGCTTGGGTTTTTGGTAGCATCATAACACAGCTAAACTCCTCTCATCTTTACAAGAGTTGTTAGGACTATTGATCACATTCTTTTGGTCTTTATCCTATAATATATGAAGCATGCAAAATGAGGATGAACCTGTAGAAACCAACTATGTAGTGATGGTAATAAATGGTTGCAAAAAATTTAAAGGAATTATAGACATAACATCAATAGTGTTGCAAAAGGACAAGCTCCTTAAATTTATCTTTGACAAGAAAACTTGACCAAAGGACACACACGCGCGTGTGTGTGTGTATATATATATATATATATATATATATCCTGACTTTTATATTTACATACATTCTATCTCTGACATTGAGCAGTTTTACCCATAAATATAGCATACCTCCTTAAGACTATATTTTTTATCATATATATATATATATGTGTGTGGATTTATTTTAAATACAAATTACTACAAAGAGGGTGCAAGTTAGATTCCTGCCAGAGAACACATTTTATTTAAGATTTCTTGAATACACAGGACAACAGACATAATAAACACTATTTAAATTAAAAATGAGGTATCTGTTTCAAATATGAGTATCCACTATCATAACATTTGAAGTAATTAATATATATATATATATATATATATATTCGCCTGTTCAAATTTTTCTGGAAAGTTTTCTCATGTATGCATGCCAGTAGACAAAATAAACACTGTTTAAAATTAACAGAGCATTTACTGAAATTATTAAAAATAATGTTTGAAGTTATATATGTAACAAAAATGTTTACGGTTTCTCTCTTCTTTTTAATGTGTGTGTGTGTAGACAAAATAAAATTTAGCCAACACGTTTTGTCCTCTGATAGATTTATCAAGGCAAATGTGAAGATTTTATTTTGCAACAAGTATTTATAAACAAAAGTAAAAACGTTAGACATTTAAGAACACTCAAATATTTATCAGGCTAACAGAAAAGTCTAAGTTAATTATGGAGGATGTTAAATGACAATTTAATGCCTAATAAACAAAAGTCTTATATATATGAGAGAGAGTGCATCCTATGTAAATATAGGAAAGAGTGTAAGGTGGGGAAATCAGCCAACCTTTTAAACACTAGAATATTCAAAATGAAGTAGGAATATTTAATATATCAGACTCTATTTGGATGAAGTAGGTCATTACTACCCACTAGGATAAAATTCCTGTAACAAGAAGTATAACTGGAAATTGAAAATTGAATGATGTGGTTTCCTTTCATTTTGCAGATGAATTAAGGACAATCTGGTTTTCAATGAAACATGGATTTCTTTGATAAACAAGCAAAATTTGTATACATGAAATCATCTGTGAAACATGACCTTTTATAAAGCTTCAGCTATTGGCTTGGTTTAGTCAGTACAGTTGTCAATAATTTTCTATTTACAGTTAATGCTATCTCCCTTCAGGACATAGATGATCATAGCTCTCCACAGATTCCTTTTCTTTATCTGTGAATTGCCATGAACTCTTTTGAAACATAATGGATTGATTTTTCCACTGCCTTCTTTCCCCACAGTTTTGAGTTTTTTTGTTTGTTTGTTTTTTTTTAGTTTTCCTTCTGTGACAGGGAAGTGATAGTTCTATGCCTTTCATAAGATCATTGATACAAAAGTAAGTGCAACAAACTAGGCAGGAATTTGAACTCTGATTGCTGGTTCTACAAGAACAAATGCCAATAACCATTACACTACCCAAGCATTCTCTGTGGTGGGGAAAGATGTTGATCAATTGAAATGTAGCAACCGAATGATGAGATCCGAAGCTTATGGCCACATCATATTGAAACATTGGTTCCAGTGTGATCATCAAAGTTAAGCAATGTCAAGCCTGGTCAGTACTTAGATGGATGACCGCTTGGAAATACTGTGTGATGTAAGATTGGATATGTGGGTGGTATAATAGATAATGGCTTGGAATTGTTTATCAGAGCAAAATTCCAATTTTAGTTGAGTTCATTATATTTACTTATGTGCAAATACTCTTGGAAAAGGTATGAATTCACTTCTCCTCCTCCAGCAATAGGTTAATTAGTAAGACTTGTATCACTAAAACCATTATTATCTCAAAAAAAAAATTGCATACAAAATATGTTGATTTTGGCATTAAATAACCCATAGAGGTTGAGATGCCACTAAACAAAAATTTCAACCAACCAAAGAATGAGATAAATAGTCCAAACAACTCTTGTAAGGATAATGATTCATCGCAAAATGACAGGATGTTTTCCCTCATCTTTCTGGTCAATACTTTTTGCAGTAATATCATCTGGGACTTTGTTTTTCTTTTCTCAACGAAGGAAAAAAATCTTTCTCAATATCTTTGGTGTGTTTCTGTGATATTCTTCAGTAATGTTTTGGGTATTAACTTTTTTTATTATTTTAACATCTTTTTTTTTCCTGCCAAAGGAAGAAAAAAAACTTTAATGTTTTTGGTGTGTTTCTGTGATAGTCATGGGTGATATTTTATGGTATTAATTTTCTAAAAAATTTAACATCCTTTCCTCTTTTATAATTTTTTCTTTCTTTTTATTTTACATTTATTTTTTTATATTTTTTTTCAGTTATTTTAACCATTTATTATGCTCTTATTTAAAAATGTTATTTTCCAAATCAAATTTGATTCAGCACAATATAAGGCACTTAAATACTGAACTCATGACATTTACAAAGTACTATGACAAAAGAGTCAACTCAATATTTTATTATTTACAAATTGAAGGAATGTTCCCTCCTAGAAAATCAGCTTTATTTATTTTTTTTATTTTTTTATTTTTTACCTGGACATGAACACAGATCTCTGGTGCTTGTAGGAAATTATAAACTGTTTCAGCCACAAGGTCTTCCACATAATGTTATTCATTCTTTCTGCTCTAATTTAAGTCTGTATTAATATAATTACTGTTAGTCTATATTACCATTAAATAGTAAAAATGGCATGATTTTTCTTTGAGCATTACCATTGAAATATACTAACTTAAAGAATAATAATTAGTATTTTCAGGTTTCATACAAAACCAGAAAAGAAAATATTCTTATTGAAAGAGGAAAGAAATTTTAAAAATTAATTGCTTTATAAAATAATGGTGCAGAATGAGAAATCGGAGAACCAAATTAGAATTCCAGTTGGATTCTCAACATTCACTTACATGCAAATACCATTGGGAAAAGTATGAATCTGTCTCTATTTCCCCCCAGCTATGGGTTGAATAGCAGGACAGACTGGGTCCTATAGCCAGAAAGAAAAAACAATCTACAGCAGGAAAATCTTCTGCCTAGTCAGTCATGAATCAAAAGCTTTTAAAAGTGGTTTGCCTATTGGAATAAGGGGAATAAAGGTTTGATTCCCTTTAGGAGGGCACATTTTCCTTAGTAGAACTCTTGTAGTGATCAGGTAGGCATTGTCATGGGATTCTGTTCCACAAACAGCAGTTCTTGGGAAGAAGCTATCGGAGTTGAATTTACTTGTTACTAAAGGAATACAATGGGAATGAGGTTAGTTTGTTTCAATTTATACAGCATGTTAGGTTTTAGCTGGGAGGGATACAAAAATAATGTAGCTTGTTTGAACAGTATCCACAGAAATAGCAGTAAAATAGTGAGAGGCTTGCAATGTTTCATCTGTGGGAAGTGGGGTGTAATTAATCAGCCACAAACAAGGTCATGTAAAAACTTTTGAACTGGAAAGGGAAAACTGGGCAACATCAGCAGTAGCACATCATATTCACCCTGATCTGATTCTTGTAAAGGTAAAACATAGCAGAACTTGGGTACTTACTGGAGCAGTACAGAGAACCTAACATTTTTCCAGCATCTTTAGCAATAGATCAGATATACAAGTTCCACCTGAGGTCTGGGGTGGGCTTAAATCCTAATAGGCATTCAAGGCCTCCTTGAGAGAATACCTGTTCATTAGATGGAATATCAGGAGCTAATATTTATTAATTCATTTTATAATGATTTTTTTTTTTTTTTTTTTTTTTTTTTTTAAAATTTTTTGTATGTAAGGTTGATTTTGTTTGTATTCTCATGAATTTTAGATTGTTTTTTCTTGAACACTTATTTAGGATGACTTCACTATTTGTGATGACATTATTATAGGGTTGTATTGTATTTATATTATGTGAACACTTGGCTCAAAAGTTTGGTTTTTCAGATAGCTCAAACTTTGTCTATTAAGTACTTAACCAGTATCAGTGTCCATAGATTTAGTGAGAATATCTTGGATTCTCTTCCAGGTAGGAGCAAAATGTGGTCCATATGCTGTTCTAAATTTCTGCTGCACTTCTTACTGATTGAAGAAACTCTTGCCAATTTGCAATTTTTTGCCCATCTTGTAAAATTTGTCATCTTCACAATAATAGAGATAGAAGTGGAGCTTAAACATTAAAAAAATCTATAAGAAACTATCAACTGATAGCAATTTCACAGATTGGACAGAACTTTGAAACAACCTGTTTATAATTTTCTTTTATTTTAAACTAAGACTGATTAATTTATTATCTTCCTTACACTATTTGCATTCAAACTATTGTCCTCATTTTTGTTGTTATCACAATGTTTTCAGCCAATATACCCTCCAGTCTTCATCAGGTTGGTTTATGAATTTGGTTACATAGTAAATGTGAGTACAATCCCTGGGCTGGAAAGAGTATTCAGTGGAAACGAGGCAAGTACTAAAAATAAAAACTAGACAAGATATCCCTAGACTGTTTACCCTCATAAATTGAATAAAGGATCCAATTCAGAATTACCTGTAGATTACCCAGATCAAAATACACCTGAATGGATAATTCATCATCCCAGAAATTCAGGCAGAAACCTTGGCTATAAGTATACTCCAGTTTTTGAGAGTAAAACAAATTAGCATCACTAAGTAGCATTT